GCCCCAAAAGAGCCAGAAATATGTCCCCAAAACAAAAGTCCATTTGCAGAGTCGAAAGAATCCTCCAACTCCACCACAGCCAAGTCGGTTTATGATTTGTACAGATGATGACATGTTCAAGGGAAACCCCAAGATTCAGACCCCGAAAGATGAGTCAACCGACTATAGCACAAGTTCATCCGATGAGAGCCCTGTTGCCAAACCTGTGAAAAGCAAATCCTCCAATGGAAAGCCTTGTCATGAGAAAACCCCCAAGGATGAAGTGATCATCAAAACCGAACCCGGTGATGTACTGCCAGTTGGACTCATGGCCAGAGATCCAGATGGTCCCAACATGCATGAAGTTGTTCTGGACTCTGACACCGATGTTGAAGTGCATGAACATGGTCCAATTGCCATCCAACCCAATGAGAGAGTCACCATGGGTAGGAAACACCGTAAAGCAGTGTTGGACGGTATTGCCAATTTGAACAAGAACGACATGATGATCCAGAGTGGACTTGGTTTGATTTCCAATCCCAATCGAGATAGCAAGACAGTTGTTTTCACTTCCCATCCGTTCGTGTTCGTCCAGGAGTCTGGCCAGCCTTCGGTCGACGTGATCGACGTTGGTGTGGGGGCCAGTCATCTTGACCCTGAATTTGACCCCAAAGATTTTTGTAATCTGTTGGAGGGGTATCAAAACATTGTCATTGCCATTGGATACAACAACCCAAATGATCCATTGGGACATGGTCGTTTTCTGGCAGAAGTGGAGTTGATGTGCGACTTGGACAATTGCAAGTTTCTGCACATAGATGTTGCCATGACTGATCGATGGGAGAAACATCAACACCCCCAAACACCATATATCAATGACCATGGTTTGGCATTCACATGCAATGACGAACAGTGGACCCATGAGTTTGAATCTTGGTTTCGTGGACAGACGATGGACGATGTCTTGTCTTGGAAGTTTGCAGATTGGATTGGGAGTTGGGCCAAGGAAGATGATTTGAACCATCAAATGGGGATAGCGTTTGTGGGGGACATGCATGAAGAAGCACATGAAGAGCATCAACGACTTGACGCCCTCTGGGACTCCGATGACAGAGCCCAGGTGAACCCTGTTGAGGAACTGATTTCTGAGGAAACCCTCATTGACGAAGTCGAGATTCCAGGACTTCCACAAGATGAGGTGGAGAGACGCAGGCAGTGGAGAAAGCTTCCAGCCAGAGTGAGGATCGCTGTCAGGCGACTTCACCGTCAGTTTGGTCATGTGCCGAGGCAGACCATGATCCACTTGCTTCGTGCTGCCAGGGTTCGAACAGAGTTCATTGATGCAGTAAAACTTCATAGGTGCACAGCATGTGAAGAAACATCCCGAAAGAAACCCACACACAAAACTGCATTGCCCCACAACTACTCTTTCAACCATAGCTTGGGAATTGATGTTTTTGAGATCATTGATGCAGGTGGTTCCAAGTTTCAAGTTTTGAACATGGTAGATCTTGGGACGACATTTCAACTGTGCGAGGTTGTCAGAACAGGCCAGGGACAGCCATCATCCAGTGAATGTCTGAAGGCCCTGCAGAAACGTTGGTTTTCATGGAGTGGACACCCAGTGAACTTGATGTGTGACCGAGGGTTGCATAACCGTGGTGTACTGTCAAAGTACATGGACGATCATGGCATTCAGGTTTATCACAGCCCACTTGAGGCACCTGAAAACCTTGGCCGTGTAGAGCGCCACGGGGCCATTGCCAAAGCTCTTTTCCGAAAGGTCTCAAAAGAAACTCAACCTCTTGGCAGAGAACAGGTTGAGTCAGTTCTGCAAGAGGTGCTCATGGTGAAGAATAATGCATCACGTGTAGGAGGTTTTTCACCATCACAGTGGGTGTTGGGTAAGGCACCACGCTCAGACCCCAGTCCATTGTCCGAAGAGCGATTTGCAGAGCTCGGAGCCTTGGAGGCCCAGCACAACCCCGAAAGCATTTTTGCTTTGCAGCATCTTGCTAGGCAGGAAGCACAGAAAGCATTGGTATACCTCGATTGCTCCAAGCGTGTCCAGCGAGCCATGACCAAAAACACATCACCTTTTCCGAGAGACTTCGAAATCGGGGACTTGGTGACTTTTCGCAGGGATAACCAGCGGGGAGGCACACGATGGAGTCCCACAAGTAGGGTGATAGGCCATGAGGGAGAGAGAAACCTATGGTTGCTTTGTGGAAATGTCCCGGTACTAGTGGCCAGTCAGAATGTGAAGGTAGCTACTCCAAGTGAAGCATTGGCGCATTCGGTTCTCCATGGGCAGCCTGTCATTCCTGATGAGGTCGTGATCGGAGGTGAACAGCAATCCTTTTTGGATGCTCGAATTTCCCCAGATTCCCAAAGTGACGGATATGAGCCATCCGTACTTGAGGCGCCTGAACCAATTGCCTCAGGCGAGGGAGCTGAACTACCATTCATAAATTGGGGAGATAATAATGAGGATTTACCACCAATACCCGAAGATGAAGAATTGGATAATGCAGGGGTAACTGTACCGGAAATCACCATTGATGGTGAAGACATGTCAGATGAAGTAAATGGTACAGATGAACTGATTGAAGCTGCCAGTTCCAGTCTGGACAGACGGAGATCAAGTGTTGCCCCTCGTGCCGACAGAAACGTGAGACCCCGTCTTGAAACCCAACCTGAGAGTGAAAGAGGGTCATCGCTTATGCCTTCCAGGCGCGAATCTGTTGACTCAGCAGACAGACCTTCTGCTGAAGCACCACAGCCAACACCATCACAAGCCGCAGGGCCACAATCATGGCCCAATCCGTATGACAGTCTTAATGACCTTCCAGCATCCCTGAGGAGCCACTTTGAGCGAGCCCGAAATGCGGCCGCACAATGGTCCGTAGAACAAGTTGAACAGTCCACAGCCATGTTCACATGTTTTATGGCAGGGAAAGATGAGATTGTAGAAGAAGGCAAGAAGGTCCTGAAAAGCATTCATTTCGAATCAGCGCCACCTGAGGTTCAAAAGGCACTGCAAGCTTCTCGAGCCCAGGAATGGTCAAAGTTTGAAAGCTTCGGAGCAGTCGTGCCACTGACTCCGGATCAAGTGCAAGAGCTTGTTGCTGAGGGACATCAGATTATACCCTCCAAATGGGTAGATGTTGACAAAGCTCAGTACAAGAAAGGCCGAGATCCAAATTACCAGCCACAATACAAAAGCAGGTTAGTTTCCTGCGGAAACTTCGAATGCAGTGACGGTCTGAGGTCAGACAGCCCCACAGCTGACATTGAGGTTCACAACCTCATTTGCCGTTGGTGTGCAGCACATGAGCTCGACTTGCATTCGGCTGATGTGACATCAGCATATTTCCAAGGACGACCTTTGGACCGGGTACTCCTGATGAGACAACCCCGGGGTGGCATCCCAGGAGTTGACGAGGGAATTGTTTACCTCGTAAGGGTACCAATCTATGGACTCACAGACTCAGGTCGCGGATTTTGGCTGCGATTGGATGGAGATGCCAAGAAAGAAGGCATGAAAGCATCACAGTTTTTCCCAGGTCTTTATTTTCTTCCAGGGAGCGATGGTGATACATGCGCATTGATGTGCACACATGTTGACGATCTTTTGTACTGTTACTTGCCCGAAGGTAAGGAAGTCATCGAACGTTTTCTGAATAAGTTCAACATCGGCAGCACCGAAGTGAACGAGTTCAGGTATTGCGGAAAGCAGTTTTCGCGTTCAGGTGACGGAGACATTTTCGTCGACACCGTCGATAACACCAGGAAGATCAAACCAATTCCAATTGACGCTGGCCGTCCAGGCAGTGAGAAGATTTCAGGTGATGACACCACACGACTTAGGTCGGTGACCGGGTCACTCGCTTGGGTTGCTCGCCAGACAAGACCAGATTTGGCATACCGAGTTAGCCGCCTACAATCTTCAATCAAAAATGCCACAGTCAGCACTTTGTGCGACGCAAACGCAGTTGTACAACTTGCTCACAAAGGTGATCAGGTAAGGCTTCGTTTTCCAAGCGGACATCTCAAATGGGATGAGATAGGTCTGATCACAATTACTGACGCTTCATTCTCCAATGAACAGAACTACCGTTCCCAACAGGGACGTTGTCACTTTCTTGGAGACCTCACAGAGATCAAGAGCAGTAGCTGCAACACGTACAGAGTAATGCCTCTGTCTTACAGCTCTACCACGATCCGACGTGTGTGTCGAAGCACGCTCCAGGCTGAGACGTATTCACTGCAGCATGGTCTCGAAGCAGGGGACAAGCTCAGAGGTGTCTTGGCAGAACTCAAAGGCCAGATCAAATCCATGCGGACATGGGAAACTGATGCAAGGAGCTGCGTACCGCACTTAGCCCTCACAGATTGCCGCTCATTGTCAGACCACTTGGCTTCCGAGATCCTGGCGAAGGTGAGCGACAAAAGACTTGGCATCGAATTACAAAGTATTCACGAATCCTACTGGAATGATGACCGAAAAACATGGGACATCTATCCGAATGGAGGAGATAAGCTGTCATGGATAGCAACACACACCATGATCAGCGACTGCCTTACAAAGAGTATGAAACCAGATTTCATAATTCGAGTGTTGGCAGAGTGCATGTACAAAGTACAGAAGCAGTAATAACACCACTGCGTTCTTTCTCCGCAATGCCCTGTACAGACATAGCTGTATATATTTCTATGTGACACCTGAAGAACAGGTTGAGTGTCAATTTGTGGTATGTGATACTCCATGTAAAGGCCAGGTTGTCACATGTAGTGTCTGCTGCCATTTCGGCTATCAGGGCCCTTGAGCTACATCGCTATCGCTACTAGCAAAAAGAGCCGCGTTGGACTGCACGATACCGTTGCCAATTCACAATATATATATATATTATATACATATTAACTATAGACTCTCTCTCTCTCTATATATATATACATATCATGTAGAGGTTAACTATAATTAACATGACATTCATGACGTCACTTAGAGCTTCCGCCAGGCCCTAAGGAGGTCGCAGGAGCTGGCCGCACAGCAGGAGGTGGTCTGTAACGCCGTGGGGACCTCTGAATCACCTGATTGTTGAGGTTTCACGCGATTTAACCGCTAACCACATCAATTTAGTGATTTGAAGATCTTTTGGTTGACGTTTGATTTAACTGTAACTATAATATCAGTTTGATGGTTTTAAGAGGTTTGTAGGCACATCCGGATATATTTTGCGGATACAAATGATGGTTGATGATTAGTTGGGGGGTCATAGTGCCTTTCATATCTTGGGCGTTATCATAATCCATGAGCTGTGAATCCCAGCTAATCAACCATTGTTTTTGTATTTTTTTGCAGGAATTTGCGGTACTTGATCCATCGCAAGATTCTGAATTGACCGTATATCACCAGTTGTTAGGGGGGCACGAATGACCCACCGGAACGTTAACATACCCTGACATGCGTTGGTCATCTACCCATGAAAAGTACCCAGTTGCCAACGCTGCCTTGCCTGCCATGCCCTTCCACTGTAAGGCCCATGTGGCTTATGTGCTGGTTGCAGAGGTGTTCAGAACCCGGCACCAGGATGGGGCTAGCACTTGGGTGTATCGTCTTCTATGCTTGCCACAGATGACGTGTTTCCCTTTTTTTAGGAAAAAACAAGGTGATTCACGGAGGGAACATATCTGCCATGAAGTGACTTTTATTGGAACCTGTAAGGATCAATTTTCCATTTCCAAGGATGACCCTGAGACCCAAAGAACTTGTCTGTAAACTGGTTTATGTCTTTTAGATATTTTCTTCATCCAACATATACAGACACAACTCGTACATTTTCCCACTGGGCAGATCATCACCAACATCAAGAACATGTTTCATACAAGCGACCCAAATCTGAGGGTTCCTTGGCGTCGAATTTTAATCTCCAGTTTAGTCACATTAATTAGGATATGGGGTTAATTGATCTCCAGTTAATCTGAGTTGATCTGAGGGTTCCTTGGCGTTGGATCTTGTGGGATCTGAAAGGTTTCCCTGTCCTTTACGGCGTTCAGGTGCTGGGAACAACTGGAGCACCAACGCCATGGGGTTCCGGCCTGAGAAGAGGAACTGGATCTGCAATGTCGAGCGATTTTAGGACCGGCCCATGTTTGGGAAACACTGACTATATTCCCTGAAAAGAGCTGAACACTATATAGATATATGTGTATATATATATATATATCTTTATATTGTAACATTACGGCCAGGCGCTGCGTGTTGCCCGGAAAGTTCACATGGCGTTTAAGCACTATCCTTCAACATGCTCAAACACCTGTGCAGGGCCAGTGTTTTAGATTTCCCAGACGACGAGCCCTAAACCCTAAATCCTAAACCCCAAAACCTAAAACCTTAAACCGTAAAACCTTAAACCCTAAACCCTGAAAACATGAAAACCTTGAATCCTAAACCAGAAAACTGTGTGTATATTGCAGTATTTTCCGCAATCTCTCCTATCTTATTCAACAACACGGCATGCTCAATGTTAATGTCTGGGCACCACGCGGCGTCTGTGGGTAACATTATAGAATGGGCTAGCGCCCTGGTGCCGCCGACCCCCCCTATTTGGGGGGTGCTGTAGAGAGAGGGAGAGAGAGGGAGGGAGAGATAGAGAGAGGGCTTGGTGGAAGCTGCCGCGAGGGATTTGGAGGGTTTTAGGGGTTTTAAGGGTTTGAATAACGGTTTGAAGGCTGGCAAACGGCAGGCTTGAACGCCATAACAACAGAGGGCTATGCAGGCAAACGCAGGCAAACTGCAGGCTGCAACGCTGGAACAGCAAAGGCTTACAGGAGGGCTTGGTGGAAGCTGCCGCGAGGGATTCGGAGCATTTTAGAGGTTTTAAGGGTTTGAAGGGTTTTAAGGGTTTGAAGGCTGGCAACGGAGCATTTTAAGGGTTTTAAGGGTTTGAAGGCTGGCAAACGGCAGGCTTGAACGCCCTAACAACAGAGGGCTATTCGCAGGCAAACGGCAGGCTGCAACGCTGGAACAGCAAGGGCTTACGGCCGCAGGGCTTGGTGGAGGCTGCCGCGAGGCGCCCTAGGCAGGGACGCCCTAGCAACAGAGGGCGATGCAAGAAAACGCAGGCAAACGGCAGGCTGCAACGCTGGAACAGCAAAGGCTTACGGCCAGAGAGGGCTTGGTGGAAGCTGCCGCGAAGGATTTGGATGGTTTTAGGGGTTTTAAAGGTTTTAAAGGTTTGAAGGCTGGCAAACGGCAGGCTAACAAGAAAGTTTAAGGGTTTGAAGGCTGGCAAACGGCAGGCATGGACGCCCTAACAACAGAGGGCAATGGAGACAAAGGGCAGGCTGATCGAAGCTGCCGCCAAGCAGTGAAGCATTTGGAGCCAAGAAAAACAAGTTCCACACCTGCGGTGGTCCCAGGCGCCGCCCCTGCCTTGGCAAGGCCGGGGCCTCAGGGACTTGTTGGAGCTTCAGGAAAGGTCTGCCGCGGCCTGAGTGGCGCCTGGGAGCTGCAGGGGAGGGTTTGGCGAGTTTTGCGGGCTGGCAAGCGGCAGCCTTGAACGTCCTTAAAAGGACACTGCCAGGGCCTCAGGGACTTGTTGGAGCTGCAGGAAAGGTCTGCCGCGGCCGGAGTGGCGCTTGGGAGCTGCAGGGGAGCGTTTGGCGAGTTTTGCGGGCTGGCAAACGGCAGCCTTGAACCTCCTTAAAAGGACACTGCCACGGCCTCAGGAGTTGTTGGAGCTGCAGGAAAGGTCTGCCGCGGCCTGAGTGGGCATCAGGAACTTGTTGGCTCAGGGACTTGTTGGAGCTGCAGGAAAGGTCTGCCGCGGCCTGAGTTGGGAGCTGCAGGGGAGGGTTTGGGGAGTTTTGCGGGCTGGCAAACAGCAGCCTTGAACGTCCATAAAAAGACGCTGCCAGGGCCTCAGGGACTTGTTGGAGCTTCAGGAAAGGTCTGCCGCGGCCTGAGTGGCGCCTGGGAGCTGCAGGGGAGGGTTTGGCGAGTTTTGCGGGCTGGCAAGCGGCAGCCTTGAACGTCCTTAAAAGGACACTGCCAGGGCCTCAGGGACTTGTTGGAGCTGCAGGAAAGGTCTGCCGCGGCCGGAGTGGCGCCTGGGAGCTGCAGGGGAGGGTTTGGCGAGTTTTGCGGGCTGGCAAACGGCAGCCTTGAACCTCCTTAAAAGGACACTGCCACGGCCTCAGGAGTTGTTGGAGCTGCAGGAAAGGTCTGCCGCGGCCTGAGTGGCACCTGGGAGCTGCAGGGGAGGGTTTGGAGCAGCCTTGAACGTCCTGAAAAGGACACTGCCAGGGCCTCAGGGACTTGTTGGAGCTGCAGGAAAGGTCTGCCGCGGCCTGAGTGGCGCCTGGGAGCTGCAGGGGAGCGTTTGGCGAGTTTTGCGGGCTGGCAAACGGCAGCCTTGAACGTCCTTAAAAGGACACTGCCAGGGCCTCAGGGACTTGTTGGAGCTGCAGGAAAGGTCTGCCGCGGCCTGAGTTGGGAGCTGCAGGGTGAGTGGCGCCTGGGAGCTGCAGGGAAGGGTTTGGCGAGTTTTGCGGGCTGGCAAGCGGCAGCCTTGAATGTCCTTAAAAGGACACTGCCAGGGCCTCAGGGACTTGTTGGAGCTGCAGGAAAGGTCTGCCGCGGCCGGAGTGGCGCCTGGGAGCTGCAGGGGAGGGGTTGGCGAGTTTTGCGGGCTGGCAAACGGCAGCCTTGAACATCCTTAAAAGGACACTGCCAGGGCCTCAGGAACTTGTTGGAGCTGCGGGAAAGGTCTGCCGCGGCCTGAGTGGCGCCTGGGAGTGCCGCGGCCTGAGTGGCGCCTGGGAGCTGCAGGGGAGGGTTTGGCGAGTTTTGCGGGCTGGCAAACGGCAGCCTTGAACATCCTTAAAAGGACATTGCCAGGGCCTCAGGAACTTGTTGGAGCTGCAGGAAAGGTCTGCCGCAGCCTGAGTGGCGCCTGGGAGTGCCGCGGCCTGAGTGGCGCCTGGGAGCTGCAGGGGAGCGTTTGGCGAGTTTTGCGGGCTGGCAAACGGCAGCCTTGAACATCCTTAAAAGGACACTGCCAGGGCCTCAGGAACTTGTTGGAGCTGCAGGAAAGGTCTGCCGCGGCCTGTCCATAAAAACGGCCAGGAGCTTGGTGGAAGCTGCCGCGAGGGATGTGCAGGCAAAGGGCCAGGCTGCAACCCTGGACCGGCAAAGGCTGCAGCCAGGCTTGGTGGAAGCTGCCGCGCACACTTAAAGCCCGCGCGGAAAAGTTCCACACCTGCGGTGGTCCCAGGCGCCGCCCCGGCCTTGGCGAAGGCCGGGGTCGGCGGATATAACACTATATAAATCTATATAACATGATTTCCCCAAAACTGCATGCTCTTGAAAGGCAATTTTCCGTTTGGAACCCCCTGAAGCCATGGATTTTTTCCCGGGTTCCGTTCAGTTGACCGGCCACCAGGTGCCAATGTCCCCGGGGCGGCGGCAGACCTGTTGACACGCGCACAGCTTGGGAGCGAGGCTTACGGGTTTGAAAAGGGGCTATACCTTCTAAATGGTGTGTCAAAACCAATAGTACCCCTTTTTTGTTCACATCAAGTCATAGCTGGGATTTATGGATGTGAATAACCCCCTAAAAATATGGTATTTTCATAGGTATTGATCCATACCCAAATGGCAATTGAATGGAGAAAATGATGACTAAACGATTTTTTGTGGTACCAAGTTCAGGCAAACCAATGTTAACCCTATCGCTATCATGATTTACATGATTTTCTGTGAATGAGTCATTGAAGTTAATTGAGTGCTTGCCCAGAAAATCGCCGTGACTCATTTCACCTCTGGGTTAATTGTGGATTATCACTACTATGGACGATGGTGGGTAAACTACTTCCAGGAGAGGTGGTCATATTTCCTCTTGGCTTTGGCCTAAGCAGTGTGCCAAAACGTAATTTTGAAAAAAATAAGGCTGCGAAACCTTGGGATTTTCGGGTAAACGATTCTCAAACAAAACCCAGGTGCTGAGTTCAACATCGCTTGAGATGGTGGTTGGATAGTGCTTAACTGCTTAACCGGCAAAACCCCCAAATAGGTGCCTTCCTGGAGAGTGGCTGATATTTGCCATGGTCAAAACTTGGATACCCAAAGGTCCCAAGGTGCTTGGAGAAGTAGAGGCATATCCTGGGATGTCCCCACTAGCATCTCCATTTCGCTTTGTTTGTGGTAATTGAGCATGTTGGTTGTTGGTTCTGTATTGTCAGTCATTGGTCGTTCTGCCTGTGTCCTCGTTCAACTCTCGTAGATCAGATGGGAAAGCACACGAATGTGGATCATGTTGGTCACCATTTTGTGGCTTAAAAGAGACATCAAATGCACAAATCCACTTATCCCAGGCTGGTGAAACACCAATATCTTGAAAATCAGTTGGCCAATTTTCGGTCCCAAACTGACTTCTTTATGTTGCCCTTTTTTGAGCCCTTTACGCACCCCTGCCACAGAAATCTCTCTCATATCGCCAGAATCTGGACCAGCTTCTGCATGCCGCAGCAGCACAACGAGCACCTGCCAAGGACGGGGGCCGATTTCGGGGACCATGGCTGGGCGCAAGCGAACCCTGGCAACTTCACGAAGGATGGCCTTCCCAGGGCTTGAAACTTTGACCTCAAAACCAAACAAACAGATTGGAAGTTTCATTTGAACAATGAAGTCCATAGAAAGATATGCATCTAAATATCATCTGGAATCTAGATAACCTTTGGGGCTACATCTTCTTGAAAAAAACTGACAGCTAGGTGGGTTTGTTTGAAGATGTTTCAAGATATGGCACCAATATTTATTCATCATCATTCTGCCAATATAGCCTCAGCTCAGGTGGGGCTGCGAGATTTATGTGCAGCGCTGTTTCAGGAGGACTTAGGCCGTGGAACTCAGCACGTCAGATGGGTCCCCAAATACAAACAGGTCCTATGAATTTTATGGGGAGGTCATGGGGGGTGGTTGATCAACCATGGAATTTTCGATGATTTTCGTATCATATTTTTTGGCCAGAAATGGGTAGCTGTTGAAACTCACCACCAGGTCCATCCGATGCATTTTTGGAATGTGAACGACATGATGCCAACGCTTTGCATGTAATGTTTTTCTTTTTTCTCCCCTATACATGCACGAAACGGATGGTTGAGGCATCACATAGTTCGAACATACATGAGGGACAAACTTTGTATGATCTAAGATGTATTGCTCTTGTTGGAAGTGAGAAGACTCAGGGTGATGTTGTTTGTACAATGAATGCTAATGACCCTGGCTTCAGAATGCAAATTATTCACCTGCAAAGTATGTGAGTCAAAGGCCCCCTTCAGATGTGCCACCCATCCCATCATCCCTGGAAAACCTGATGGTTGCTGTTGTTCACGACCAAAATCCCAAGGGTTTTCCAAGACTTTTGGGGTAGTGAAACTTGACCTTCCTCTTCTAAGACCTTTTTTTTGAAGCCTCCCACAGACACCTTGTGAATTCACAAGAGTCATTTCTTTTGAACGAATATATAGCAGTTGTCTTACCACAAAGTGGGGCCCCCAAGATATAAGTTGGTTTATAAGCCCCAGTAACTATAGTTATAAGTACCATAAACCATAGTTATTGGAGTTATAAACCAACTTAGCTATCTAGGGGGCCCCACTTACCACCTACCCGCTTGATCCCAGTTTGAGTGTGAGAGTAGCTGGTAGCTGGGTTTTCATCGGATCCCCAAAGGTCGATTTTGGATGTTGTGTCCATTCCTGGGTGCCTGTCCCCAACCTGTGTGGTGCCGAACTTTGGGGCGCTAAAAAACCCCAAACTCAGAAAACATGAGTCCTTCTTGGGCTTGACACCAAAATGTCACGTTGGGGCTTCAGGGCGTGGTTAGTTTAATATAACCTCCAGAATCAAATGGAACATCAATTTTGGTCAAAAATTCTTTCCCTTTAATGATGTTCAATAAATATATAGAAGTTCAAATGATGTTCCATGATGTTCAAGTGTCAATGTGATTATGATGTGGCCGAATTTTTACCCTTTTTCGGAGGTCCCTTCGAAGCCCTTTTACAAAGCCGCGTTTAGTGGCACCGCCTTTGTGGGGTCACTATGGATGACCGCCAGAAAAACAACCAAAATCCATAATGGTTTTTGAGGATCAACTCACCATGTGATGGAAACTCTCTGCCTTACCCCTGGGCACGTCACTGATGTCACCGAAGGTTTGTCGCAGCTACTGCACAGCCATGGGCTGACAGCGGAGGGCTTGCGCGGTGCTCTGCAGGCAGAGTTCGGGTTCGGGGTGTGGAAAAACCAAGCGGTGGCGCCTTGGGATTTCACAAGTGGATATCTATTGACTAATGTTGCGCACAGACCCCGTTGTTCCCCAGACTGCAACATTGAGGATGCTGTGTTGTCAAATGTGATCAGACACATGTAGGGATGGGTCAAGACACGTGGGATAACATCCGAATCGGTGGATGAACATCAAGGAGCTCACCATTTTTTCCGGGTGAACTGACCAGACAAAATTGAGGAACTGGTGATGGAATCCAACAAAATCACAGGCTTTTAAGATCAATACCCCAAGAATCCCTTCCATATTTCAATGCCCACGTTTCCTGGGCCAAAATGAATGAACCAAATCAAAACAGTCCACCGGCCTTTCGATTGGGGGATGTATTTGGGAATGGTTCGTTAGTTAGTACATTGAGTACATCACCTCTGATCATCAACAGTTTTTCCCATAAAGGAACACCATCATTTTGAAGAGTTGAACATCATAGAAAGTATATCATTATCATCATTTTTCATGTTACTAGAAAATTGATGGTTGAACATAATCATAATAGTTTTCTCATAAAGTAACACTATCATTATTTTTCACACCATTTTACCCTCTGGTAAATTAACATAACTATGGAAAGATCCACCATGCTATCAATGGGTAAATCCACTATTTCTATGGCCATTTTCAATAGCTATTTTGACATAACCAGAGGGTAAATACCATCTAATGTACATCATCAACTTTCATGAGCGAAACCTCCAGGCCTCAGGGCAAAGTCTGGTCCCTCCGTGGCTCAGATGGAGAAAAACATGGGATGGATGACCAAAAACTACCATCGTCTGTCCCTAGCGAAAACATCATATGTATATATATATATGTATCTATATACAATATATATATATATATAATCTATATTAAAGTATATGGTTCCGAGTGGGAATCAGGCGTTATAAAAGACGGTGTTTTTGAGAGATGTGTTTTTCAAGTGTGTGAGACGATAAACTGCCAGGACAGAAGTAGCTACAGTAGCACAAGCACAAGGGACACTTGTGCAGCAGACATTGAAGTGCTGCTGCCAGGAGCAGAAAACACGTAGCTCAGGCTAAACAGCAGTAGAAAGAACAGGTGGCACCGCAAGTTTTGCTTTGGCGAATGCTAGACCAAACACACAAAGACTTCCAGTTGTAGTAGCGGAGACGTGGTAGCCTCTGTCCATGTCCGAAGACTTTTCCCAGGAGCGCTGTGCATGAACGTTACATGTCGTGCATCGCATCGACTCTGTTAAGCCAGGGAACATGCCATCCTTTCCCACGTGTTTGCCGACGTGGATTTCGGAAATTACGTTGCCTCTGCTGACTATGTGGCTGGACTTTGCTTGATGTCCTGTCGCAGCTTGTGACCCTCAAGTGATTTCTCTCCATTGCGATCGTGCCTTCTATCGTTTGATGCTTCATTGTCATCTGCAGGTTGTGCTTGTCATGCACGTAGCCATTTCCAGCCTTATAACACCAGAGTCGCCTCGTGTCATCGTCTGCAACAAAGAATGGAGTTGTGCTTGGAGGAGGCAAAGAATCATGTCCTCGTCTGCCACGAGAAGTACGAGTACAATGAGGTGGCCGGCAGTCCTGTCTCCATAGACATGTTGCCACTGGACACAGATGAAACATATCGAAACGTATATAGTTGCTGCGAACAATATTTGCAACACTGGTATAGAGACGCGTGACAGAAGTAGAAGAGACAGAGCAGTTACTACGGTTGTGCACAGGAGTACGTTTATATGTATAGTGTCACGTCTGCACGCACTATTCCCTTGTTGGCCATGCAGCGTTTGCCGCAAGCAGGAGAGCGCCGCCGCCTAGGGCATGCAAGCGCGGGTCCAGCTCCAACAAATCCGGCCGCACGTATATCGGAACGCAGTGTGAGCCCACGGGAGCCAGGACAAAGGCCAACAGGAAGCACAACAGTTGATGCGCACAACGCAGGGCCAGCAAACACCACTACGCGGGCGGCACGTGGGTGGTAAAGCTGAACGGGTGAATTTTGGAACCTCCATGTTTTTTTTCCTGTGCGAGTGGCGGGAGTACCGTGCGTGGCAGGCATGCATGTGCTGCAGCCGATCGTCGTTTTTTCCTGTTCAAGATATGCAGGCAGGCGGGATGCGTGATGCAGCAAATACGCAGCAGAAAAAACAGCGCGGGCTTCCCCAGAACACGCTCAAAAACGAACGCCCCAAACCCACATTTAACCATAAATAAATAAATATATGAATAAATAAATATATATATATATGTAACAATTAAAATATAGTATAGCATAGATTGTTGGATCTTAATCCATAAACAAAATTAATCATCATCCGCTCGTGAGACCTTTGAAACTACACCTCAAAATTTCAGGATTGCACACATTGCATCATATTGAGCCCGTTGTGGGCACCCCAAATGAATAGGTTCAACACATCCCATGAGGGTTTCTGGGGTTAGTGACGCTCGTGGAGAAGGGACTGCACACCTCAAATTGGAACTATCATCCGGAAAGACTCTCCTCTTCATTCTTGAGATGGGAACAAGATGGAAAAAGGTTACCAGGGTTTTACCTATGATGTATGGTAGTAATCCGATATTCACCTTGTGGTCATCTAACAACCATGAAACGCCACTAGGCAGGACTGGGATGATCGCGTGTTGCCATGACTCGTGGACTTCGGTCATGGGGAAAACCAGGGTGACCCGTGGCCTCCGCGCCCTCCGCATCAATTGTCAATATATTTTGGTGAGTCCAGTGAAAAAATAACTCTACATTGTTGAAATTGAACTTTGCCAAAAACTGGAGATCTTTTGTCTGGGTTCTTCGTTTTGGACCTCTCTGGCTGCTCGGAAACCTAGGCCCGGCGCCTCTGCGCCGGTTCTTCCACTGATGCAGCGCGAAAGGTGCGGCCAGTGGGATCCGTGGGTTTTGGGCTTTGAACAATTGCCAGCATTGGGCTGAAATCTGGATCGTTTGAGGAGGTGAACACAGGATGGGTGGGACACAAAAAAAATTGATGGGAGAGGAGATGGGAGGAGGCGCTTCATGTTTCACCGGATCATCCACGTTCCATGGGTTTGGAGACGTCATTTTGACAGGCAACAAAGGATTTCATCCAGTCCAGAGCAATGCTGCGCGTTTGATGCCATAGTTTTCGCCCAAATCATGGAACTCTTCGGCTTTCCAGATCGTCCCACAAAGGGAGAGAAGTCAGAGAAGTGAGCCATGACTAGGCGTGGAGACACGCTTTGCCGTTTGAAATCAGGCCAAAGGGTGCCAGCGACGAAGAGGCAGGGGTGAAGGTCAAACCTTGGATTTACAAAGCCCTGGTTGAATTGGAGGGCAACCATGACAACCTATTTTGACGGGAACGTATCCTTTTTGGGGGGTTTCACCCCTTGAATTAAGTCATCAGCCAGGGTTTAGTAATTCGGACTTGACATTAATTTGTCTACATGAATGCCCATAGCTGCCCGCATCCCTCATTTTCTACGGTGGAGATTCAATGGTTATGGTTTTACATCGTTTATTCATATATTTCTTTCAATTCATTTTTCTCGTTGATTCAGCAGGATTTGCTGCATGATTGAACGATGTTTGGCTAATGTATTGACCCGGATGGGACTATGCAAAGGACCCCAATGGGTGAGGTGCAAACTTTCAGGCTTTAGGTACCAGAAAGAATTGACGGAGTACAGCTACGCTGACAGGACGACTCCTCCTCAATCCTAGAACGCTTCGGGAAGGACTCCGTGCTGGGCTCCATCACAGTTCCTGGCAGAATCTACATGATTCCATCATTTATCAAGCATGGTGGTTTCAAAATTGGGGGGTCAGGCTGCCTCAATCATTGCCTAAGTTGTGGGAATTTGGGACGTATGTGGCTACCCGGCTACCAAAAATCTCAGCGTTTGAACCCCTTGATTTGTAGACACACCTCAAAATAATATTGTTAGCTATATATATATATATATGCACATACACATATTCCCAATGTATACCTCTTATTTCCCGATCATAGCTCCACGATATACCCATTATGTGTCCCCATGAGTGTATGTTCCCATAATATCCCTATGATGGTCTCCATGACATATACTGTATGTATGTATGTATGTATGTATGTATGTATGTATGTATGTATGGTAATGTATGTATGTATGGTAATGTATGGTAATGTATGGTAATGTAATGTAATGTAATGTAATGTAATGTAATGTATGTAATGTATGTAATGTATGTAATGTATGTAATGTATGTATGTATGTATGTATGTATGTATGTATGTATGGTATTTATGTATGTATGGTATGTATGTATGTATGTTATTGCTGTATGGTTAATGTAATGAATTTAATGTAATGCATGTAATGTAGGTCATTGTAGTATGGTATGTATGTATGTATGTATGTATGTAAATGTATGTATGTATGTAATGTATGTAGTATGTAATGTATGTAATGTATGTAACGTATGTAATGTATGTAATGTATGTAATGTATGTAATGTATGTAATGTATGTAATGTATGTAATGTATGTAATGTATGTAATGTATGTAATGTATGTAATGTATGTAATGTATGTAATGTATGTATGTATGTATATATGTATGTATGTATGTATGTATATATATATATATGTATAATATGGAGGTTTCCTAACTTAGGGGTACCCCCCAAAGTATCCAAGTTATATCATGAGTATTGAAACCCATGGTGACTTGGGGATTCCATATTGTAAGACACCCCCTATGGCTTCATCCCCCATGCTGAAACAAGGACTTGGTGGCGGAAGCCGCGGCGGGGCGGCTGGACACGGTCTTCGGGCGTGAGAAGGCGGATGGGGTGGCAGAGGTGGCAGTCACCGGAAAAATCAATGAACATCATCTACAAGGTGTTGCCGCATAGCTAAGTTGGTTGCTCCAGTAACGTTTGGGTTTATGATAGATATATCTATAGTTACTATGCCTTACCGTATCAATGAAAATCATCTGGGAACCGGGATACTTCAACATATTTCAAGCAAGTATCTAACCAGGTGGAATATACTCAGATGATTATAGAACCATATATAATACAAATAATTATAACATATTGAGAACATAGCTATATATCTTATCATCATATATAACATCCTACATCTATAAATGGGAATAGTTCATGGGATAACTAGGGTGGAAGATGGTTTGCTGATGTTTACTGGCAAAGGTCACTGGGGTAGGCTATAGGTGCTGTTTGATGGGGATAAAAACATATAAAACCAACTTGAAGGGAGATATCACGTGGATACCCTGGGAATACGCCATAGCAATATCATGGGATAATCATATGGGTGCATCGCCTATGAACGGACACTTTTAATAGGCAGCATGATTTTTGCCACTGGATGGACTGTGGAATCCTATTTTCCGACCAACCGAAACGGATAGTCTGGTGGCATCTTCAGCTAGACTTGCTAGAGTACCGGGTGAATCCCAAATCCAACGGATCATAGTTGATGCTTTGAGATGGGGCAGCAGCCCAGAATCCCAGAACCAGTGCGTTTTTTCAGAAGCGCAATGCTTTAGCAATGAAGTGGCTTTTGGACTAATCAGGAGATTGACATGTTTGGCAAACATTTCAACCAAAAAATCTCAATCTTCATAGGAAGCTTATCTCAGTCGCGAGAATTTTGCTTATCTAGAGTGATATAAGCCAAAAAGGCCTACAGTCTTCAGCGAGTCTACAGGTTTAAGTTTGCGATTTAACACATGGTTTACATCGTGTTGACCTCCCCAAGATAGGTCAATGTTGCTGCACCAGGAAGTCCAACGAGTGCTACACGTCCTGGCTCGCCGCAACAAGCCCAACGTGGCCTGGTAAGAAACAAGCACCAGTCTGACCCTGGTGGATAGATGGTGCATATATGGTGGACTATATGGCGGATCTATCGAATCCCTTGATTTTGTGGATTTTTGATTGGAGGACTATTTATGGTTGTTTTTTTTTTTTTGCGGCAGTTTTTTTTTTCCTGGGTTCCTGCTTCTCTGATTTTCTGCTTCTCTGATTTTCTGCTTCTCTGCTTTTCTGCTTCTCTGCTTTTCTGCTTTTCTGCTTTTCTGCTTTCCTTGCTTTTCTGCTTTTCTGCTTTTCTGCTTCTCTGCTTCTCTGCTTCTCTGCTTTCATTGCTTCTCCGCTTTTCCTGCTTCTCTGCTTTTCTGCTTTTCTGCTTCTCTGCTTCTTGCTTTCCCTGCTTCTCTGCTTTTCCTGCTTTTCCTGCTTTTCCTGCTTTTCCTGCTTTTCCTGCTTTTCTGCTTTTTGCTTTCCCTGCTTCTCTGCTTTTCTGCTTTTCTGCTTCTTTGCTTTTCCTGCTTTTCCTGCTTCTCTGCTTTTTGCTTTCCCTGCTTCTCTGCTTTTCCTGCTTCTCTGCTTTTCTGCTTCTTTGCTTTTCTGCTTCTGTGCCTTTCTGCTTCTACTATTTTACTTTTTCTTTTCTTCAGTCATGTGTTTTTGCTGCTCTACTTCCTGCTCCTCTGCTTCTTTGCTTCCTGTCCTTACTGTCTCTTTGTTTTTCACTTTCTTTTGCTTTATTCTTTCCTGTTTGTATCCTAAATGAAACCCTCGAGAGAGACTAGATGAAGCCCAAAGAAACCCTAAGAAATCCTGATAAGAAACCCTACATGAAACCCTAAATGAAGAAACCATAAATGAAACCCTGAAGAAACCTTAAAGAAACCCTAAATGAAACCCTAAAAAAAACCAAAAGAAACCCTAACCGACACCCTAAATGAAACCTTAATGAAGCCCTAAATGAAACCCTAAATGAAACCCTAAATGAAACCTTAAATGAAACCCTAAATGAAAGCCTAAAGAACCCTCAAGAACCACACATGAACGTTTCAAGTACCGCAATGTAGCAAATTCCATGCAAATGAGAGGTTGAAGCGCCAAAATGTGGCAAATACAATGCAAAATGCAAAGTGCCCATGCCAAAATGTAGCAAATTCCATGCAAATGAGAGGTTGAAGCGCCAAAATGTGGCAAATACAATGCAAAATGCAAAGTGACCATGCCAAAATGTAGCAAATTCCATGCAAATGAGAGGTTGAAGCGCCAAAATGTGGCAAATACAATGCAAAATGCAAAGTGACCATGCCAAAATGTAGCAAATTCCATGCAAATGAGAGGTTGAAGCGCCAAAATGTGGCAAATACAATGCAAAATGCAAAGTGACCATGCCAAAATGTAGCAAATTCAATGCAAATGAGAGGTTGAAGCGCCAAAATGTGGCAAATACAATGCAAAATGCAAAGTGACCATGCCAAAATGTAGCAAATTCCATGCAAATGAGAGGTTGAAGCGCCAAAATGTGGCAAATACAATGCAAAATGCAAAGTGACCATGCCAAAATGTAGCAAATTCCATGCAAATGAGAGGTTGAAGCGCCAAAATGTGGCAAATACAATGCAAAATGCAAAGTGCCCATGCCAAAATGTAGCAAATTCCATGCAAATGAGAGGTTGAAGCGCCAAAATGTGGCAAATACAATGCAAAATGCAAAGTGATCATGCCAAAATGTAGCAAATTCCATGCAAATGAGAGGTTGAAGCGCCAAAATGTGGCAAATACAATGCAAAATGCAAAGTGACCATGCCAAAATGTAGCAAATTCCATGCAAATGAGAGGTTGAAGCGCCAAAATGTGGCAAATACAATGCAAAATGCAAAGTGACCATGCCAAAATGTAGCAAATTCAATGCAAATGAGAGGTTGAAGCGCCAAAATGTGGCAAATACAATGCAAAATGCAAAGTGACCATGCCAAAATGTAGCAAATTCCATACAAATGAGAGGTTGAAGCGCCAAAATGTGGCAAATACAATGGAAAATGCAAAGTGACCATGCCAAAATGTAGCAAATACCATACAAAATGACAGGTTCTTGTTCCAAACTGTTGCAAATACAAGGCAGATGGTACCAGGAAAGAAAGCAAAAACAACTTCAAAACCTCAGGCAAAGAAAAACAAAACTATTCTACACCCTTTTTACAGTAATGATGTCGGAATCTATGAATTTTGGGTATTTCCGGGTCCCATGAGAAGAGATTCCGGTGGGATGGTTGCTTGTTTTGGATCTGTTTTCTTGTTGACCAAGCAACAGGAAGATTTCATGGCTACCCACTTTGATTTTTGGTGCTTGAGGAAAATGGAGTTTCCTTATCTGGTTAATCATGCGCTTTAATGGACTGATGACTGATGGGGAACCCACCCAACTCGCAGGGGGGCAAACCTAGGTGTGCCTTCTGGGCCCCCCGGTGTCGGAAAGACAGCGCTTGTTGAGGAGGCTCTGAAAACTTGGATTGAACCAACTTGGGCATGGTGAACTGCCCCGGCTGTGAAATAATGCGCAAAAGAATGACGGATGGGATGTGGAATGTGTGGAATGGGTGGGAAACCCCTATGGTCCTATGGTCTTTCCCAACAATTCAAACACCCCAAGGCTCAAACTCAAACCGCCTCAGGTGGCGAGACGAATTCACTTGCGCCAGGGCTTGCCAAGGCTGGGGTGAGGGTATGGTACGGTATGGTTAGGTTGGTTCGGTGAGTATCGAGCCTCTCTCTCTTGAAGGTATCACACATTTGGATACATCTGCAATGTGTACTCATCAATCATAGATGTATGCATATAGATGCATCAAGACGCGTTGAGGACCGAAGATGTCGTTTTTGTTTGATGGGTCGTCGATTTTTTTTCGAGTAAGTTGAGCTGAGCAGTAGTTTGACTTGTGGATATGGATCTGCGCTGGATCGATGATTACCCTCTATATTCAAAAATGGATGGTTGATCATTTAACAGATTGACGACTGGGAGATCCCAGTGATTGTCCACAGCAGAGGTTATGCCACACATTTGCGGGTCATTCGAACTTAGTTTGCCCATGTCATGGGCATAGAGGTATACCTCCTGGAAAACCCAAGGTATGGATAAGGGTCACGAATACAGTGCACACAACAAACATCGTAGATGTTGCTCCTTCTTGGAAGTAAACCATCCAAGTTCTGGTCACCTAAGCTTGACCCGTACTTATTTCATAATTTATCCTTGATCACGAGGCTGCGCAGATCCGCGTCCCTCAGGGTCCCACAGCTATGTCATCCCGTCATCCCGTCAACCCGTCATCCCGTCAACCCGTCACCCGTCACCTGTCATCCGTCATCCGTCATCCCTCATCCTGATCCTCCCCATCCTCCCCA